CACTCTTAAAAATAAAGGCGCTTAAAAGGTTCTTCACAGTGATGCTATAGAAGAACCATTTTTGGTTCCACAAAGAACCATTTAGTCAAAGGTTCTTTAAAGAACCATCTCTTTCTTACCTTACTAAATAATCTGAAGAACCTTCGTTCACCACAAAGAACCTTTTGTGAAACAGAAAAGTTCTTTATGGAACCATTTAGACAAAAAAAGGTTCTTAATCTATGGCATCGTGAAGCACCTTTATTTTTTAAGAGTGCACAGAGCCAATAGAACTACATCTACACACATTCTGAGCTGTAACAGAACAGCCACTAAGCAACTTTAATTTATTATTTAAAAATGAAAATAATTAATTCAGCCTCAGGGATTAATATATCATAATCGGATGCCAACTGCATACAAAAATCCTGCCACATGATTAATGACTGAAACAAGCCAATTAAGACACGATCATTAATGCAAACGTTCCTCAACAAGATGCACAAAACACACACAGAATGCTCTGCCTGAGGGCATTCACACCAGGTGTGTGTGTGTGTGTGTGTGTGTACCTGAGACAGGCAACGGAGGGACCCAAACACTGTTACCACGGCAACCTCTGAGTGCATCCCCAAATGTCCTCGAATGCAAGTTTTGTCATACTGACCTCATGTCTGGAGACAATAATGACCCTAAACTACAGCTAACAAACACACCTTTACTTATAGTAGCTATTGACAACATATAATAGACTTTTATTGTTTTTATCAACACAGACTACAAATTAACATAACTAAACTAAGCCTACGAAAAAAAAAAAAAATCTTTTACTTTTGATATTTAAGGGCGTCACCAAATTTTGTCAAAACTTATGGGTGGGAAAAATTTGGTTCTTAAAAATAAACCTAGAATATGCATCTATTATATATACTAATAAACAAAGCAGAAATGCAGATAATTAAAACTAAATCAGTTACTTGAAATAAAATTAATGTTAACTGAAAAAAAAATATATATATATATTAAAAACATGATTTCAGCCAGTTGGTAAGGCAACATTTCTCATTTTCATTTAGTTTCACTTGATGTAATAAACTAAAATTGAAATAAAAATTTATAATATTTATTAAAATAATAAAAATGGCAAAAACACACAACAAAATTATTTAAAAAATAAATACATAAAATATATTTTTTTAAAAACGAATTCAAAATATTAATAAAAACTGTAATAGCATCTCAATAACACTATTTTTAAAAAAAAACACTTAAACAAAGGCCAATAGTTACACAGGACAATAGTTAAGCTGAAACTTTTCATTTTCATTTAGCCAAAAACTGAAACCAAACATTTAAGTTAGTTTATTTAATAAAGATTTAATCTAAGTTATTTAATAACCAATGCTCAAAAAAGGTTTATATCAACTTTTTAATTATATAATTATGTTTATAATCCAATTTGTATTTAGTGATCCATTGACTTTATATTAAAATTGACAGAATTTGAAAGCTGTTTATCAAAAGTAACAAAGCTTCTTGTGATTTTTGGATGGAAGATGCTACAAATAATATTTAGTGAAGTTTTGTTCACGCATCAACAGAAAACCGCACAGCTCAATATTGGGATTTAAGAATCAATACTGTGTCATCAAAATGAAGATTGAGTAAAAACAACAAATCAATATTGTCAACCCAACCCTTGAGTCCACACAGCTTATATTACTTTTACATGTATTCAAACCAAAAATTATTCAGACAGCAGATATAATTTTTGATATTTTTTTACTAGTGGGTGCAGGACACTACAGTTCATTTATGTAAGTGAGGATAGCTAAATAAAGTAAACTGTGACATATTACACCCAAAAATTCTTCATTGGTTTGACTGTATGCATTTTACAGATGGTTTTATTCTAAATGACTTTGAAAAGAGCAATAAATGTTTTTAAAAGTTTATCCATGATAAAAAACGCAATCGGTGAAGCGTTACTGAAACGTCACTGTTTTGGTCAATGTGCAAAATGTTTGCGGATAAAAATTTTCAGTTGCCAAAATTTCAGAGCGTCACTAAGCATTTAATTAGTTTTTTGTTTGTTTTGTTTATTATTCTGCAATTACAGTATTTTTTTCCTTAAAGTCCATTTTCAAGATTTTAAGTCAAGCTTTTTATTCATTAGTCAAGGTTTCTGCACCAAAACAATCCTAATAAGCTATTTTTCCCATCATCTCTCTGACCCTCACACTGTAAATTCTACCGTACCTTTAAGACTTCTATACGCAAATGACTCCGTAATGACGGGCTAATCGTTCTGCATGTGAAATGAGTAACAAAAAGCCCCTACTAAGTTTCTGAATGTTGATTAGGTTTTGACATGTAAATGTGGGTGCTGTTAAGCGTCAGTGTCCGGCTCAGATGTGGTGTTCTTCTGTTTTCTACAATGCTACGATTCACGAGCGATGTGCAGTGACCCGAGCGCTGGATCTGGAACAGTTTCTCATTCTCTCGCCCCTAATAACATCATCTGGTCTCCACGGCAACATCATGACGGACAGACATCATCATCATCATCATCATCATCATCATCACAGAGCTGCATTCTGATGCTGTCAGGAATATTCTGAATATTGTGTGCAGCATCTGTGTCATAATGACCGTCATCACAGAAAACAATATCTCTTTTACACTGATGCACAAGCTGCTGTGAAAGACTCACACACTTAAGCTGTAAAAACACTCTGACACTGGCAGCCAAAAACAATACAAATATTCAATAACAACACACACACACACACACACTCATATACACACACACAAACACTCTGATAAATGTGTACTGTGGATGAAAAAGAGGTGACGGCATTGTGTGTGTGTGTGTGTGTGAGAAGAGGCTCTTTATCAAGTGGAAAGCTGTGGAAATGAGTGTGTGGGTGGAACAGAGAGGAGAGATAAAGAGAGATTTTTGTTCATACTTTCACAACTTTTTCTCTATTATATTTCATCACGTTCCTGTTAAATCTGTTCTAGGACCCTAAAGAGAGCTCAAACATTTACATTAATACAAAACTTAATCTTGATTAAATTTCTTTATTTTAAATTCAGATATATAATGCCTGTCAAAAGTTTAGGAACAATGATTTTTAAATGTTTCTGAAAGAAGTCTCTTCTGCTCACCAAGGCTGCATTTATTTGATCAAAAATACAGTAAAAATAGTGAAATATTATTCTAATTTAAAACAGCTGTTGTCTGTGTGAATATCTGTTAAACTGTAATTTATTTCTGTGATGCGCAGCTGTATTTTCAGCATCATTACTCCAGTCTTCAGTGTCACATGATCTTCAGAAATCATTCTAATATGCTGATTTGCTGCTCGAGACACACTTCTGATTATTATCAATGTTGAAAACAGTTTATATGTTTGTGGAAACTGTGACATATTTTGTTTTTCAGGATTCACAGATGAATAGAAAGTTCAAAAGAACAGCATTTTTTAAAATAGAAATCTTGTGTAACACCATGTCTTTACATTCACTTTTGATCAATTTAAAAGCATTAATTTCTATTCTATTCTATTAGTATTTATGCTTAAAAAAAACTTCTGGAGTAAACAAAATGTCAAAGAAAATATACACACACAATGAGTGTAAAATGAATACGAAGTGTTTGTATATGATCCATGAAAGCAATATATAGTAGTCAACATTTGAAGTGGATCAAATACATGAAAGTTGTCCTAAATTCTTAAATTTTCTATAAAACTAAAATTATTTACCATTTTTTAAACTTAAGCTGATTGCACAATTTATAATGAAACATACATTAGAAAAATCGAAAGAATCATTTTCACTGTTGTTGTCTCCACTGTACATTCAGTGTCTCTAATGCCTCCACAATAAAACTTCTTTACAACATCAATACAAAGCTACGAGTCTGAATCTATAATCTTCACAGAGTAAATACAGTTAGAAATGAAAGACAGGAACCTCAAACCTTTACATTTAAAGTCAAAATGAAACACTCTTTTGTTTCGTTTTTTACTTCTGTAATGTATTAAGGATCTTTAACTGGGAATTCAATGTAAAGTGGGACTTGGTTTTATCCGTCAGTGAACGACTGGATGCTGAAAAGTGATTTAAGACAAACTTTTGTCTTTAGAATAATAACATGCTGCTGAATCGATCACAATAAGACCAGGAACATGAATTAAGAAAGTAAAAAGACTCAAAGTTCAGTTCACGTTGACTTTAAACACGCTGATGGATGCAAAGCTCCTCTAACTTATCAAATGAACACGAGAAGAGCAAAGTGAGCGAGACAGAGGTATAGTTTCAGAAACGTGAGCAGCAGAGACTAAAATAGACTCAGAGACACAGATGATTCATTCTCTCTGCTGATACCAGCTTTGTTTGGAGTTCTGCTGAGAATAAAGTTTAGAACAGAAACACACCTGACACAATAAAACACAAACACACACACACTCACACACACTCACTCAAACACACACACACACACACACACATACACACTCACACACACACACATACACACACACTCATATACACACACACAAACACACACACACTCACACACACTCACTCAAACACACACACACTCACACACACACACACACATACACACATACACACTCACACACATACACATACACACACACTCATATACACACACACACACACACACACACACACACACACATAAGAGAGCCTATCTTACAGACTTCCATTGTTTTCTATCAGGTCAATGATCTCCTAACCCGACCCTAAACCAACCCACACAGAAATCATTAGGTTTACAGACAAACATCACCTGGAACTTTTATGAGCCTTTTAACTACAACGCATCAGATGTCTTTACAAGACACCTGTCATGATGTTTCATGTCTTAGTGAGGACATTCAAGTCTCACAAGTAGACAAACCTGTACAATAAACTACTCACTCATACACACACACAGACACACACCGACCTCAACGCGCGGTCTTTGATCAGATCGGTTCGGTACTCACAGTTCGGCCGCCGCCGGGGTCCGGTACTGCTGGCTACGGCAGAGCAGCGAGTGTCCGCACGCCTGACCCATCGCGCATCGCGCCGCAGACGCCGGTACCGACAGATCGCGCTGAGGAGGAGGAAGAGGAGGAGGTTTCCCGCTGCCGGTAAGAGAGCGGAGATGAAGCTGATGATGAGCGGAGAGTCTTTCTCTCTCTCTCTCTCTCTCTCTCTGACGTGTGTGTTTGATCGATCTGAAAGGCGTTTCCTCTCTGCTTCCCAACAAACATCATCTCTGCACTAGTTAACATCATCTTCAAATGACAAAGTTACAAAAACGTTATTTCTGAATGTTCTCTTAATGTTCGCCAGTGTTGGGAAAGTTTCTTTGGAAATGTAGGGTATGGTGGGAGAAAACGCAACCCTACCGTTTTTCCCAAAATAACCACACGATAAAGTCAAGATCAATTCTTATTGTAACTACGGACTAAGTATTCACCATGAAGCTTACGCTGGTGAGAAAACAGATTTCACAGTAAATGATCTCATTTTCAGCAGTAAGAAAAAAAATGTTTTAAAGCTGTTTTGTAGAACATGTAGCGTCTGGACCAATCAGACACACCATTTTTCATTTGATTTAACAAATCAATTATTCATTAGATTAACAAACGTTCACAGACCCCTCACCCAATAAACATACTGGGTGCCAAGTTGTCTGTGAACAAGGCCCAGGACCCTGGTTACCATGGCAACCCTGACACCAGATACATTTACGACCTAATGGAATGCGAAGCAGGGAAAATCACTGCATGTTCCATAGCAAGAGGCAAATGCACAGTAGAAATGGACTTTTCTACTAATTAATTCATAGGAAAACCTTTCTTTGAATGAACACACATATCCTTCAGGTCATTGTGTATGTTGTCTTTGAGATTTTATACTGTTTTATGCAGGCTTATGATGGAAACACTCATTCCTGTCATCTTACCTATATGTAATCCTACCATGTTAAGTATCTATGAATTCGCCTTCTGATGATCTAAACGAGCGTGTATATTATATGTTGGTACATAGGCAATATATTAGTGTCCTGAGAATCTTTAGTAATTTCGATTCAAGTTCCATATGCAAATTACCATGCTTCCACACAAAGAGTCATAAAACTCCCCAGTATTTCCAAACTCCCACTTGGGATTCCGGCCTTTCTCATTGGACAAGCCCATCTTGAGAGGCGGGGATCTTCTCCGACCTTAAAGGCACCACACCAGGACCCTCCCAGAGTCGGTGGTTTGTTTGAATTCTGAAAAGATGTGAGCTACAACGCTCCAGGACATCCTAAGTTTTGTGCCAGGCCTTCGGCCTTGACTTTTCCATTCACCAAGATTCTCTGACGCAAACTGGTTCTTTTTCATCAACCAACTTCAGCAAAGATCCACGCGAGCCTTCAGATTGCAACATCACAGTTATATATGATATGAGAATAGTAAGGCCTGTAGATAGAGAATGTGTGTTATATAAGAAAAACAGTAAAGCAGGCAGGGTTCACCTTACAGTAGCACTTAACACGGATTACTGTTAGACTTTCAGAATCCTTCATCACTTAAATTAAGATAATAATATAATTTTAAAGCACAGCCACCACAAAACCAGAACTTACCTTGAGATCATTCTGAGGTTAAATACAGATTTAAAACCATAACAAGAAATAGTTTAGTAGCTATGATACTGTTTTGAAATCAAATCTTTGCATAGCTACAAAAGGAAACACTGGCATCTAACAATGCCTTGGAAAAAACAGTTATAATAAATAAAGCATATATAAACCCAAATAGGAAATAAAACAGTTATCGAATAAGCACGTCCTAAACTCCTGAAACATTGGTGTCTCGTACTTTAGAGCAGCCACTGCAATTTATGAAGTAAATGTTCTCTGAATATTTTGAAACAAGTAACATTTTAAAAGCATTAGATGAATGACCAACTAAAACATGTCAGATTTAAAACTTTCCATGAATAATGTTTTTGTGCTTGAGAACATTATTAAAGGGGTCATATGATGCTTTTTTAAAGATCATTATTTTGTGTATTTGGTGTAACAGAATATGTTGACATGCTTTAATGTTCAAAAAACACATTATTTTTCAAATACTGTAGCAGGGGCCTCATGTATAAATCTTTGCGTAGATTTCATCCTAAAAGTGTGTGTACGCACAAAAGCTAGATTTTGCGTACGCTCAAAAGTTTTCAGATTTATAAAACCACGCGTTCGCCAGAACCTGCGCAAAAATCCCTTTATAAACCTCCATCCTGACTCCTCCCCCAAATCACCTTATATGGAGCTTATAAGGTGCATAACCTCATCTGCATATCATTTCCGTGCACATTCCCATCCAACGTGACACCATGTTTAATGCAGTTAAGGGTGCAAAACATTAGGAAAATATGAGATATGGACTATAAATGCTTTTTGAGACATCACATTGCTATTCAGTGAGTTGTTCTCATTTTTTCCACTGGCCAAATAGTATTTTAAATAGTTTTAAACAAATCAAATGTATGCAATTTTTGCCTGTAAGGTAAACATAGTTTAGAATGTTTATATTTGAATGGAAAGAGATAGGCCTTTTTTCTTTTTTTGCAGTCTGACTCTCTGCATCAATAAAACATTTTGAAAATAAAACACACGTATCTTAGTTTCCTTCGAATTCTATATCTTTTAATTACAATGGTGTTTGTCACAATATTGGGAAGCATGAGGAACAGACACACGTTTGAGATGCAAGATCTTCACCTGTGGTTTGTGCTGTAGATGATTAGAGCATCTGTCCACATTCATTTCACCTGGAAAGAAACGTTATGTTTTTATCCATCACCACGTCAACAAAAGAAATTCAAATGTGATTCAGAAAGTAAAATCATGCAGGGTTTTATTTTGTCAATGCCTCAGCTAACAGGGAATGTTGTGGCAAGGTTCTCTCAAAGTTATGAACAAACATTCTTCCAGAAACATTAATATAAGGTTTGTTCAAAATTGTCTAGTCTATAATAACATTCTCAAAATTTTAACACAAAAACATGAAACATTTTAGCTGGACATTTATCTAACGTTTTTTGAACGTTAACACTTAATTTTAAGAACATTCAAAACTAACGTTCCCGTAACGTATGCAAAATGATCAAATGGAATGTTCACTTAACATTTACATAAACATTTTAAATGTTCAGAGAATACGGAGAAATAACGTTTTCATAACTTAAATTAAAAATAATTTTCTGTAAAGCTGAAATAAAATATATATTGGATGTGGGGGGGGC